CGTTTTAACTTTATCTTCATGATAACAAACATTTTCATTATAACCATTAAAATTATGAGAATCACATTTCATTTTACTATTATAATATACTATCTTAAAATTTTTATCTTTCTATATTTTAACTACTATATGATTACATTTGCTATCAGAAGTGTAAAGCACAATTTATAGCTATATGTCCCGTCTTTTTACATTTAAAACATAAACGAGACCCATCCAGATTCGATTGCAACGAATCAACGTTATTTACATGTAGGCCTGAAATCTTCCTTACGTTGGAATTTTCTCCACTAGATTTTTGTAAGGGAAAACCCATTATAAAATTCTGTTCTTTTACAATACAGGTTTTAGAATAATGACCCTTGTAACCGCACCGATTACAAATCATGTCACCAACAATCTTTGGAAAACTCTTTCCATTTGAACTAATTCTATTCACCAAATTGTTTCTCCCTTGTTTACAAATAATAAACAGATAAAATCGCAAGATATTTTACTATTATTCATATTTAAACAAACAAACAAACAAATTTTTTTTAATGCATATGTCGTATTATGGGGTTTCGGAATCTCAATTTTAAACCATTAACTAAGGCAGATTCTTTGCATTTTAAAAATCTGATTTTACAGGAATTCTATTCCAGCATGTGTAGAGTATTTAGCCTATAAATTTCAGCCAATTTCAGCGATAGACATTTTAGTATTTTTATATAAAAAAATCCATATAAAAATTAATATAAATTAGAAGTAGTTCTAAAGTTCATGGCTGAATTGTTTGAAATTTACAGTTTGGGTACTCTACCCATGATACAATACATTTCCGGTTAAACTGAACTTTAAAATTTTTTAAATCACTCTCGGTAAAGGGTATAAAATCAAGAGATTCCGAAACCCCATACGACACATATATAAGATCTAACATTATTAAAGGTCAAAAATTATGGTTATCGAATTTATTTGATTACAAAAGGCAAACAAATATGAATTACCAAAATAGTATAAGGAAAAATATATGAAAATTTTAAAATATAAAATTTTTTAAATTAAATTTTTTCAAAAAAAAAAAACTATTACAGAGTAGCTTTTTTAAAATTAATATTAGATTATATATAATTGGTATTCTTTTTTCGTAAATTTAAGGTATGGTTTACTGGTTATTATTCAATTAAGTCATTGTCATCATATCATAGTTTTAGTTATTCCAAAATTTTCACTTGGAAAGAAATACCAGATTAAGAACAAAAAAAATGAATTAGCATTACATGGTTAAAAAAACTTACAAGTTGCAATCATAATATTCTAGGGTTAGGGTTAGAAAGTAATTCAGATAGGTGACAGATCATATCATAATCACTTTTAAAGTTTTTTATAAGGTTTTTTCTTCTAAGTTTTGAATGAGGTTTTATTTATTTTAAACTTTTATGTTCCTGATAAAAAGTTAAAAAAAAAGAATCATTATCGATTTCTTCAAATAAAAAGTTTGCATCTTCTGTTGTGATTTAATCAAGTGGATGCCACCTATTTCAAGCATTGCATATAAAATTCAATAATTGAATTTTTTTTTGCTTTTTGGAAAACGGGTAAAATGATATTTTTATTTACGTCGATGTTATATTTTTCCATGCAAATCAAATCTAACAAGTTTTTTTAATCTCATTATCTTTTCCCAACGATAACATCCACAACAGTTATCGTTACTTTGGTATTAAAATTTTTTATAAAGCACATGTTTTTTAATGTTTACCTATATAAATTTTAAATAACAAATAAAAGTTAAAGAATTTTAACCGGTCTGCTCGCACTCCTAAATATTATTTAGCTAGTCCGCCCAATTAGATGGATGGGCATAGGCTAAAAGCCAGCTCGTTTCAGCGAAATATTCGAAAAAGCTTTAAAAAAAACGATTATGACAATTGTCACTTTTCTATGGTACATCCTCATTTAAATTTTAATTTAACATGCTTACAAATATATATTTTTAATTATTTGATTTACAAAAAAAATTTTAGATCAAAAATAACGATCATATGACAATTGTCACTTTTTTATGGTACACCTTCACTGAAATTTTAACCTAACATGTTTACAATAAATATTATTACCTATTTGCTTTGAAAAAATTCAAAAAAGTTCTAAAATAACGATTATGACAATTGTCACTTTCCTTTGGTACATCTTAACTGAAATTTTAATTGTTTACAATATATATTTTTACCAGTTTGCTTTGAAAATATTCAAAAAAGTTGAAAAATTAATATTATGACAATTGTCGCTTTTTTATGGTACATCCTCATTTAAATTTTAGTTTAATGTTTACAATTTATTATTTTACCCGTTGCTTCAAAAAATTTAAAAAAACTTTAAAAATAACTATTATGACAATTGTCACTTATCCAGGGTACATCTTCACTGAAGTTATGTATATTTTTGCCAATTTGACCCAAAAAATTATTAAAAATAACGAATATAAGATTTGTAACTTTTCCATGGTTTATCTTCTCCGATATCTCAAGTAGTCGGAAGAACTAAACTAATTAACAACACTAACCCCAACTATTTAGTAACCAGGTCGGATCGGCTCAAAAATTTGATTTAGTCGATTAAGCAAGTTGACTAAATGGGTTAGGTATGCCGACTCAATGGATCAACTTAGTCGCCTGAAATAGTCGTTTTAGTCGACTAATAGACTAATTTAGTCGATAATTTAAGACTAAATAACAACACTAATTATGAGATGAAAGAAAATACAACTATTAATGTACATTCATTTATTATTGAAAATATATCTAATTTAATTTTTATAAGTAATTCAAATCATAAGAAAATGAATCTCACATCAATTAAGCAAAATTTTTTTACCTCAGCATTTAGAGTCAAACTCCAAAAAATTTTTAAAAATTTCTCCGAGTTTTTTCAAATATAAATAAAGTCTAAATTAAAATGGGACAGGGAATATGTAACGAAAAATTTAAAAAATAACAACGAAGACCGGGAATGGTATAAAAAGTAAAGTAGAAAGGGTCTGGTCTAGGATAGTTCTTTGGCTAGTAGACTACCATTCAAGCTGATGTTATTGGCTTTAAGGATTGCTATGGCAAGCCTGAAGAAAAAAACCCCTCTCGAGGTTTGTTTGCTGATTTGAGATCCTAAATTTATGAAAAAAGCTAAGGCAAGTTTGCCGAACGTGGTAAGTGTGGTTGAGTGGAATGAAACAATGGTCATTACTAATTTCTGTATATTTCAAGGTTTTAAGCTGTTATTTGTGGTCAATGATATTGAGGGCTAGGTTAGATGGGGCAAGGGGGTCAATACATGAAAAGTCCCATACCAATAATTGGCCTCTCCTCGGAATTTGAGTGACGTCAGGTCTTTTGCCATCAGATCTGAAAAGACCATGGGGTTCTAGTATGGATGGGATTTGTGCTGATTTCAAGGCATGTTGGATGATTGAATTACATGGCCTGTGTCGGATGAATCGACCATTGCAGGAGCCACAATGTAAACTATGTCTTCCATTCTTGTTAACGGGCGAGCTACAACCTGAACAGATGTGAGGGTGGGTGATTGACATTAATTCAATATTGTTCATATTTGTATTTAATTTTTTTAAAAAGTTTTTTATGATGAAAACAAAATATATATTTCCAAGATAATAAAATTGGTAAGAAACATATTTGGTTAATTTTCATTGTTTCAAAATAAATTGTTCCCGTTTAACAGAAAATACAACGACATTAAAAGATATTTTTGAAACAATTTTTGCATTTTCTTATGGAGAATTTTGAGGCCGACAAAATGATATATCATTTCTTTAGACCAAAAATTGTTTGAAAGGGAAAGGCTCCCATCAAATTTTAAAGGTTCATAACTCGGCATACATTTAACCTAGAAGCCTGAAAATTTTTATTAATATAAAATGTATTTAACTTTCATGTCAAGTTTCATCCATTTAACCGAAAATCACGTTATTTCAGTCCATTTGTCATCCCAAATAGGAGAAGTAATTTATTCTATAAATGATATTTAAAAAAAAGGTCCAAAAAACTAAAATAGGATATTATAGATTGCATTGAATCAACAGATTCAATTGTTACGAAAACCTTAAAATAAGATAGCCCTACCCGCTGGTACAGCATATTAATTCTGCTAGAAACTATTCTTAGTGTTAACAAGATTCCTATAAATAATGTGCTAAATAGAATAGGAAAACAATCTTCGAAACTTTTCTATAACGATTGGGATCTAGTTGACCAACTTTACACATTATTAAATCCACTCAGAGAGTCGATAGAATTACTCAAAAGGAATCAGCGATAAATTTAGGGTTATAATTTCGCTGTAAAAGTTGACAAAAATCGTAATTTTTTAAAAAATTAAAAAAATCGTTTTTTTTTATTTATATCTCGAAATAAATCAAATTTTAACAAAAGAATTATGGGCTAAGATTGTAAAATATCGTCTTTTAAAATTCCAGTTTAATATTATCTTGCAAATAAAGGACTAATCTAATGATCAAGGGAACAGGTCAGTATTGTTGAAAAATTAAATAATGATATGTTGTAATTTGATATTTTTTTCAAGCAAAGAGTTGATGATATATATTATACTTATTTTTTTAAAAAAAATTTAACTATCAATTGTTTGCTAAAATAAATTTATCGTATAGTTTTTTGATACTAACAGAAATGACAAATTTTTGATTTTTTTCAAACTTAAATAAGCTATTGCAATTTCTCAACCGGTTAAGAATTAGCCCAATTTAAAAACTCCTAATGGATGGAAGAATTTGCAAAAGTTTTTTTTTACCACCTTACATGCTAATAAAAAAAAAAGAAAGTAATATTCAACTTTCATCGATGCAATCAAGCTTTAACTCCTACACATCTCTTACGAAATATCATTCAAATTTAACTTTAATAATAAAATTATTGATTTAAAATTGATTTCATGGTGAACAAAATAGCATATTTTTACTTATAAATTTAATCAAAATAAATTAGGGTTACACGTCGTTCTGGAATGACTGCATAAGTTCATCGCTGCGCGGATGCATCTTGATAGAATTAACCCTTCGAGGACGAATCAAGCTGGCTGAAGCCGGCATGAGACGGAAGAGCCTGTTGACCCGTAAGGTCAACGTCTTGTCCGACGTCCCCACTGGCGATGCCCTCCTTGACGAGGCCCTCAGACATATCCGCGATACGACTCCGCCCGAAGGCGTACAAAACTGGATCGAATTTTTGAGCGGTAAGTCATCTTATTTTATGCTTCTTAAGGTCGATGAATAAAAACCGATTTTATTTGAATCCACAGATTTTTTCAAAAATTTAAAGTAGAAAAAAAAGATACTTCTTATTGTAATCGAAAAAATAAATTAAGTATAATATTAAAATTTCAAACCCTTAAACGATAAGGTGGACAAAATAACCCAAGTGGTTGAGTGAGGCATTTATCGATCACCCCCTATTTTAAAACTGTTATATATATCTAACTTAGATTTATATATCATAACCATTGATATTTTAGATATAATCTTGAATTAATTATAATTTTAAAGATTTAAAATTAAATTAAAGATTTATTACAATTTTTGTAACGAGTTTTGAAAATAAAGCAAAAAATGTAGAATTTTGTAAGGAAAATTTTAACGAATTACCAATTAGTTTAATTTATCGAAATTTAACGACAAAAGTAACTTAGTAACTATCAATATATTTTAAGATATGTTAAATATATTATTCATTATATATTGATTTCCCAAATTTAAAATCACTGTTCAATAATATCTCATTTAATATCGTGATTATGTATTTTTTGCTTGCCTTCAAAATAACTTCTTTTGCATCATACATAATCACCTTGTGTCATGAATTCAAATACAGTTTATTGTATTATGTTTTGCATATTCAACAGCTCAATTGGTGATGTTATTTGTTTGATTAGCATGATGGCCTGTAAACTGCCTCTCGCCGTTAGCCTTTTCACTGTGCCTCTAATATCATCATGTGCATTTTTTTCCCCACGAGCATAGGCTGAATAATGACACTGGTGTCGCGTTGAATTTTTTAGAATAAATTTATAAGCTAAGTCTAAACAAAGGTGCACTGCAATAGTATGTAAGCAAGCTAGCGTAACAAATGACAGTCATCTTTATCCTATACAATAAAGGGATGAATTGTTGTCTATGCGTTGGTCCGGTAACTTTGTGTTGCATCCTTAACAAAGCTATAATTCTCTGAAAAATCACATGCAGTCATTTACTGCTTTCTTAACTAGATTAAATGAATATTGTATTAGCTGACTGCCGACCAGATAGAAAAGAAAATTTATAGAATAATCTACTGATATTGCCTTATTTAACGGCTGTAATATTTTGGTCAAAAATGGTTGTCTCAATAGATAACCAAGGTTTCCAAAATTCATAGGGTAGGTGATCTTCACATAACTGGAATAGATTTTTGTCAAAATCACATTATTTTTAAATGTAAAATTCCCTCCATAAATGATCGTATATACTATTTTCAACCAATTTATTCATTCAGCCCATTTACATTTTAAAAATCTCTCTTTTCCGGAAATATATTCCGCTATGTGCCAGAAGAATATTACATTATAAAATTTTGTAAAATATTGTACTTATTAAAAATAAAGGGAGTTAATGTCCATCGGTAGCAAATATTTTTAAAAAACGATATAAATTTTGATTTTTATTTTCGTTCTTAAAAATAAATCAAACTTTATTCATTACAAAAGAAAAACGGAGTAGAAGATGAGGAAAAAAAAATTAAGAAATTTTGAGACTGTAGATAGGTAATACAAAATAAGTTTTATGATTGACAGGAGAGACCTGGAATCCGCTTAAACTCCGCTACCAGCTCCGCAATGTCCGTGAGAGACTCGCGAAGAATCTAGCCGAAAAGGGAGTTTTATCTACCGAAAAGCAAAATTTTGTTGTGTTCGACATGACTACCCATCCGCTGGTGGACCCCCAAGCCAAGCTCAAGCTGGTCTCGAGGGTTAGGAATGCCCTTCTGGCCGACTGGACTCCTACAGGGTCTTCACCCATCTCCGCCCTCCTCAACGCAGGTTCTGATTTAAATAATTATTTATATATCAAGATAAATGCATCGTTTGGGATCCTTTTTCTTATTTTCAATTTATTTTCGCTTATTCACGCTACATTCTATTCTTGTTTTTATATTTCCGGTAATTCTTTCCGCATCTTCGTTACAGATCTTTATAACTTGTTAACTTTATCCATTCACTTTTACCTTTATTTAGACTATTATTCTTTATGTTAACATTTGTATATTTGGATAAATTGTTGACATGTGGTGTGCCAAACGTGGGGGCACGAACTCAACGAACGCTACTTAAATATCTCAGTCGAACGAGCTGTTTTGTTCAATTAACATCCATTTATTATAAATTTCAATGTAAATTATTACAATTCTTTTCATAAAAATCGAATTCCAGGCTTTTTTAGTTTAATTTTACGGCCAGGTTTTATGACAGTATTCTTTAAATTCTCAACTTTATTGGTAATCATCATTGCTTACTAAAGTTGACTAATGTGATTATACATGGATGGGAACGATATTACCTAGACCCATTGTAGTAAAGAAGTAATCAGTTTTCATTGACATTTTATTCAGTATAATTTAACCATAATGTGCAACTTAATTACAAATGGCGATATATAATTACACGCTAATGGATGAGTGTGTACATAATACATTAGGAAGTTAAACAACACCTATTATATTAATCGTAAATATATATATATATAATCATATCTAATTGGCAAATATGATAAAATATTACAATAGATTACTTATTTACTACATTTCCCCCTACGTTAATTGAGAGATGTCTATATCTCTTCAATCATTCGTTTCGGGGGCTTATGTGTCCGCCCTCGCCTTGGGGTCTCACACTCTCTCTGATCGCTGTCAGCGATAACGCGCTCCGTCGTATCTGATATTAAACGGTCCCTTAGCTGGTCAGCATGTTTTCGTATTACACGATCTGGGGTCTTGACTACATAGGAATATAATCCCTTTATATCTTCTCTCCAACCCTTACTGGTTTCATTCCTTACCCACACATGCTGACCAACGTCAAATTCCCTAAAATTGGAATGTGTATCACGTCCTTGATTTTGTTTATCATTGGCTTTATCAATCTCCCTACCCACCTCTGGTCTAGCCCAGTCTAGATTAGTTCTTATATGACGACCGAACATAATCTTCGGTGGCGACCTACCCGTCGAACTATGTTCCCCCAGCCTATACGCTGCTATCGTTTGAGTCATCGCCTCTTGCGGGTCATTAATTGATTCTCGACTGGCATAATACCCCTTTTAAGGTTCGAATGGTTCGTTCCGCCTGCCCATTTGTCTTCGGGTGGTACGGCGTTGAGCGAATGTGGCAAATATTGTTTTCTTCACAAAATCGCTTAAATTCTATTTAAATAAATTGAGGTCCATTACCCGTTACAATGTTTTTAGGTACCCCAAAGGTAGCAAACCACTTCTTTAATCTTGTTATCATCTCCTTCGCCGATGTGTCTTCTCAGGTCTACCTCAGCCCATTTTGAGTATGAATCTACTCCCACTAGCCAATATAAAGAGTCAACCGGTCCCGCAAAATCTATGGCTCTTTGGTACAATTCCATGAGTATGTGGTAACTCCAATATGTTCGGTCGATTATTCTGACATCCAACACACAGCTTTATATACCGTTCTATGTCCTCTTCGCATTTCGGCCACCAACAATACAACCGAAAAATAGATTTGTCCCCGATGTAGTGTTTCCATGGAGAGAAGGGGTGATTCAGGATAGAAAGGGAATATATTCCTATGTAGACAAGACCCCAGATCGTGGAATACGAAAACATGCTGACCATCTAAGGGACCGTTTGATATCAGATACGACGGAGCGCGTGATCGTTGACAGCGATCATAGAGAGTGTGAGACCCCAAGACGAGGGCGGACACATAAGCCCCCGACACGAAAGATGAAGAGATATAGACATCTCTCAATTAACGTAGGTGGAAATGTAGTAAAGAAGTAATCTATTGTAATATTTTATCATATTATATATTATATTTGCCAGTTAGATATGATTATATATATATATACGATTAATATAATAGGTGTTGTTTAACTTCCTAATGTATTATGTACACACTCATCCATTAACGTGTAATTATATATTGCTATTTGTAATTAAGTTGCACCTTGTGGTTAAATTATACTGAATAAAATGTCAATGAAAACTGATACTTATTGTGAATGAATTATAATGTAAATAATGGTTCTACCTTCGTTAAACCCATCGGCTACGATATTTGTATTTAGGAATGCCTACTAGATCATGTGTAACTTTTCTTTTGCTTTCGTTGATATGGGCCATAGTAAATGGAATATGAGGTTTATTTTCATTATACATCACGTTTGTGAATTTCTGAACACCACAATCTGTTTCCTACATTTTAACTAGCGCTAAATATCGCATATATTTAGAGTTCTTCATGAGATCTGTGGGGGAGATTTTTTGGACTTGAAACAATTTTGTATTCTCATCCATTTAGTTCGTGTCTTTGATGGCAGTATCACAATATCATCTTTTTAAATTTTTTTTGGGCCAATTTGTTTTATCTTTATAAGTGACGGGTCTTTTACTGAAAAGTTTTCGATATTTTTATTTAAAAACTTTGCTATTCGTTAGATCATATATTTCTGTATCTGTATTTTTATTATCTAAATTTTCCGTGATCGTTAGCGTTAACCTAGAGAGATCATCAGCGTTAGCGTTTTATCTCCCAGAGAGTGGGCGAGCTCAATCCAATATCGGCATTCAAATTTTACATCCCAACATTGCTAGTGGGTGAAAAGTGCAAAAATTGATCTTTTTTCGAAAAATACGATTTTTTAAAATTGGGATAAGTTAAATAAAAACAAAAATGTTGCTAAAACAAAAATTTTCTCATCTTTGTAACGAACGCTATGAAAGGCCTTTTAGTAAAAGAGGTACTATTTGCATTAGTGATCTGCATCGGCCCTAATTTTTCAAGCCCGTCCGACCCCAACCCGATTATTTCAAATGTTCGGGGCGGGTACGGGCTGGGTCTAACTTTGCAGATCTCTAATTTGCTTGTCCCAACCCGGACTTTTTTAAAAAAAATTTCAGGCCTGGTTTTACCGGAAATGTATTGCATAATGTTTGGAATACTATTTCATGAATTCCAGATAATTTTGTCATTAACTTTTGAATTTACTATAATTTATATTCCTTTTTCCATAGATTTTTTGTATAAATTATAAATGGCTCGAAAATTACCGGCAGGTATTCTAAGCATGCTGGAATACATTCCCAGTAAAATCAAGATTTTAAAATTTTAACGCGCTCGCAAATGAATTAAGGCATTGTTATATATATTGGAATGTCTACAGCGTTGGTTAATAAATATAGACGAGATACATTTCCAGAAATAAATGGAGAATACACTATTCAAAAGGAAAAAAAAAATCATCTGTCATCGTAAGAAATATCACGAACTTATTAATGACAAATAATACCTTTACGATACGAGATATTATCGAAAATTTAGCACCTGGTAATTCCCCAAAAAAGGCAACGATAAGAAACTATATAAAAAATTGGCCGCTCGAAAAACAGAAGCTGACAGAAGAAATAGGGCTGGTGCTATGAATATTCGTCAAATTTACTGCTTGGAAGTTTTAAATTGTCCCAAAAGAAAAGCTATTTTTCTTAGACGAAACGGGAATGGTACCAGTTTATGCCTGGACCCCATAAAATGTTCTCTCGACTATAAAGACCGAAGGGTAAAAATGTTCGTATTCTTTGCACAATTGGAATAGGACTAATTCATTGTAAAATTATAGACAATGGTATATTATTCCGAGATTACATTAGAAAACTTGTTGATATTTTGCCATCGGATGCGATTATTGTAATGGATGTTGCATCTATTCATAAATCCCATGATGCCTACAAAGATAGGATTGAGTTCCTACCGCCATATTCACCCCCAGCTTAATTTTATAGATTTTTTTTTGTATATTCAAATATAAATTTTGGGCAAGCACTCCTCGACCTAATTCGCGGGATGAAACTATTACCAATATTATTGAGCTTTTTCTTGGATTCCTTCCATATGATTTTACGAACTTTTACAAATATATGCCACAATATCTGGAGTTAGGTTATCGCAGGATGCCGATTAAATTAGGTAATTCCTAATAATTAATTTATGTTATAATCTTTAACCGTTTTATATTGTAAAAAGGTATCATTTTCAAGTCGAAGAACATGAGGAATCATTTTATAATACTTAAACATTATACACTATTTTTTTATTTACCTAATATTTTATCGAAATTATTATAAACTATATATATATATATATATATACATCATATTTTTTTCGATATCAAAAAATTTTTAGGCCCAGCCCTGGTATCTTTTTCAAAAAATTTCGAAAAAATCCCGGCTTAGGGCCGGGCCTGCAGGTTTCTGATATAAATAAGGGGCCCAGAACAAGGGCAAAAAAATTGTTCCCTTCCAGAACGTTCCTAGAAAAACATATAAATATATTTTTTAAAAACATGACTAGAGTATTACATCGAAACGATAATATATCTTCTAAAAGATTATCATTTTATACATGTTCTTTCATGGTATTTTAGTATAAATTTGAGTGCCGAAAAACAACGTTCAACACTTTCCTGGTTATGGTTGATTTTTTTTTATTATTATTATCAAAAGTCAATTTATCCTTTTTAAATTTTATTTAATAAGAGAAAAAAAAAATTAATTTTGTAGATAAAAATAAACAGTTAAAATGAATTTTTTTGAAATTTGTTAAAAATGTTTTACCCTCTTTTTGATTTTTTTAATCTAACTATACTTGTTCGCTAATTAATGTTCAATGTACAGTTATGAAAATAAAGCAAAGCAATGATGAAAATACTATTTAAAAGAGTGTTAAAATTATAATTAACGCTATATCTTTAAATCTGTATTATTAAAATAATAATGTTCAATGTACATTAATGTTCAATGTACAGTTATGAAAATAAAGCAAAGCAATGATGAAAATACTATTTAAAAGAGTGTTAAAATTATAATTAACGCTATATCTTTAAATCTGTATTATTAAAATAATAATGTTCAATGTACATTAATGTTCAATGTACAGTTATGAAAATAAAGCAAAGCAATGATGAAAATACTATTTAAAAGAGTGTTAAAATTATAATTAACGCTATATCTTTAAATCTGTATTATTAAAATAAGGGAAATTAAATTAGTAATTTGAAAAAAATAATAAAATTAGGTAAGGTCGCCGTTGTTATTACTTTGCTCGTAGTCGTGTAGTTTAATATGATTAATTTATTATTTTAAAAAAAATTATAAGGGAACTTCATACACTTAACTGTTAGATGGCTCAAAAATTTTTTTTAATTTTAATTATAGAAATAAATTAGAAATTTATATACATTTTTAGGAACATTTCGGCAAAGTTACGAACACGCGTTTTCCCCTCGCTATAAATTTATTAATTACGTATACCTATACCGAAACCGACGATGCATTCATAATAATGCATTTGAAGGCGTCGTTGAATGCGAATCAGCTGGGACCGCCATTTTGTTAACCCGTATAGTAATTATTCTCATGTTAAAAACTAATATTAAATTTGCCTCTCGTTTAAAATTTTTAATAATGATATGGGTAATAAAAATAGCGTCCGCAGCTGTTTTCACTGATGCATACTTTTAATGAATGCATCAGTCTTGGTATTATTATACGTCATTAAAATTTCCGTTCCATGTCCCTTGATAAAAATTAATTTAAATTTAAAGAAAAGAAAAGGAATCTAAGAAAAATATTAATATTTAAAGATTTTTTTATTCGTAAAATTCCGAAAGAGTTTTTTACAAAAAATATTTGGTAAAAAAAATTTAATTAAAAATCTTTCTAGAGAATTCTCAGAGAAATTTATGTGTTACAAAAGCAATTTTAATTTAATTTTTATTATCGTAAAATATATTTAAAAAACAATACAGGTTATTTGTATAAATAAATTATTTTACCCCCTTCTTTTTTTTCCATTATATCTATCTAATTGAATAATAAAAAATATGCTTTGTTTAAATTTTTTTGTTTTTTCACTGTAAATTTAAAATCAAAAAATTTTACGCCAACGCCAGACCCAAATTCATTAAATGAATTTTAAAAAACGCAGTATCGACCCGCTATAAAATATAATATTAAGCCCATCCCGGCTATTGAGAGTCTCTGATTAGCATAAACAAAGACAATACCCCTAAAATAACGATCATCTTGGACACAAAAGAAAATATATATCCAATAATAATAGATTTTCGATTAGCATCTTAACCAAATTCTATAAAAATATTCATATTACCCAATCTCTCCCACAAAAATCACCTTAAAATCTTTCTCTGGACACGAAAAACTTATTATTTAAATATAGGCATCTTTTAATAATAAAGTTATATATTTTATTTACCCCCCCCCCACACTACCTTAGTTTATTTTTAGGATAGGCCAGTGTCATAGTTTTTTCTTACTTTTCTTATTTTTTTGGCATTTTTCTAATTTTTGGTTTATTTTATATTTGAATTTTTTGAAATAAAATTCAAATTATTTGATTTTTTATTAATTTTTTTTATACCTTCGTTATTTTAAGAAGGGATTGTATTATTAGTAAAAGAATAGTCTTATATTATTCTTTAATTTAACCTCGTATAGATAAATAAATAAATAAATGACTCGTTCAACAAATAAGGATTCTTAGTAGTGTTTTACAGAAAGAAGGAAATTGAGAAAGAAAGAAAAGATAATAAAACTTTACTTATGAATTAATAAAACTAGAATGCATAGTTTCATTTCCTGTAATCATATAAATATTGACGAATTACTTAATGAACTAACGCAGACACTGCCAATTCCCCGCCCCCCGGCGGACGAGGGGAGGCTGCCCTGAAATACACGCGTAGTCTTGCCACCATAGTGCTCGCCCATTTTGCGGATGTGCTCGACAACGCACTTACTGGTGTAGCCGATGACGATGAGTACGAACTTGCTACACGCCGACTAAAGACCTTGCTCGACACCGATCCCGAAGCTGTCGTGGCATCTATCCGCTCACCATCCTATTCCGCAAACGCGCCTACCGATAAAGATACCACAGAAATTGTGAGCCTTGCGCAGGTTGCCCTCAACGGGTATGTCATGGTGTGGGCCTTAGTCGCGGCCTTCAATAAATAGATAGCATTTACCTCCGCTATAAATATACGCGTTTTATTATGACGTCATTAATATATAATTCGTAATATTAAGAGTTCTATTCCTATATTATATAAAGAAATTTCATGAAAACTTTTTTTTAATCCATCGGGTTATTTATTATGTAATGAAGAAATTATGTAACCATATGTTGACCCTCTCTCATATCTTGATATATGTTTTACCATTAATTCCTAATGACATTCAAATTCTGCGTACGAAGATATATTACGCATAACCCCCCTCCTAACTAAATATTGTTATTTATATAAACCTACTTCATTTTCATTTCTTTCTCGATAGATAATTTATTTATCTTATGAAAGTCCAACTTTAATGCTCCAAATTGACTTTTTTTTTATATATTTAGAATTTGTAATGGAGCAAGCAAGCTGATTTATAATGTTTTTTTTAGCGTTACCTAAAAACTTTTCAAATAAGATCAACTTGACAGAAACCAAATTAATGTTATATTGAGGCTATATAAAAACATTTCCATTCCACGTCATCTCAATTATCAAAAATGTCGGCTGATTTTTTTAAAAATGTTTATTTTTAAAGGCATGATTGTAATTGAAGGAATCACTTCTTGTAATGATTAACCTGTCACATTTTCATTCCAATTTGTCCAAACAAATTTGTTATACGACCACTTAAGGGTAAATTATAAAATGACATTTTTAAATTAATCGCGCAAATTTGACAATTGTCACACAGCGTCACAATAAGTAGATAATTACCACACCATGCTCGCTTTCTTATTACACATTATACCATTGGCGTTTATATTTTTTTCCATTTTTTATTTAAATAAATATCTCGAATATTTAGAAGGGGGTTGAGGCGGGCATTTGTCGATTTATTATTTATTTCGGGGTCTTGGTGTATTGCAAAATGTAACATATTATAAATTATTCCACGTGGGAAATTACTTTTTTTATACCATCATATTTTTTTAGTATTTTATTTGCCCACGATAATTCCCAAATTTATAATATTATGATTATAATATAAACTGTAATTTTTATGACTTACAAAATAAATATTATTGGTAATATATCTTCATGGATTATATTTTTACTCGAGGAGTATATAGTGGTTATAAGCCTAAAAATAATTTGGTATAGTAATTTCGATTTATTAATTTTTTTGTTTTTTAAATTTTTTTTTATATATCCTAAAGATATTTGTTCAAAAGGATCATTAATAAAAGATCATTGGAATCAGAGTTGTTAATAGATACTTTTTAAATGGATCTAGCTAGAACAGATATATCGTTTAAAAACACGTTCTCATTCAATTCGAACACCGTATAAAAAAATGTCAGTACCTCTATTTTTATCGTTCTTTCGAATAAATTCTCATTTAAAACGCGTATTTATTGAAAAAAAAAATTATTTTGCGTTGAACTCATAATTTTATTCATTAAAAGTCATCGGAAAATCTATTAAAATTATTTCAAAACATTCTAAATAAATTTATTTGCCTAAAATAAAATTTTATGCATCAATAGTATTGTTTTAATAATTAACGGGCATCATAGCCTAAACAAGGATTTATATATTCATTTACATGATAAAATTATCCTTCACAATCTTGAACTGATATTTATAGATTCAAATTAAAAAAAAATACCTAATGAACATACACATATATTTTTTTTTATATGTAAGTTTTAATATTATTTATATTTTCTTTTATTATATTAGTTTTATTTTTAATACATTATATTAAATTATATACATATAAAAGTAAAATTAATTTTGCATCCAAATATTTTTATAATTAATATAAAAAAACGTTAAATAAAAGGTATGTCAAAACTTATCTTAAAAAAATATCTGAAAATAATAGTATATAGATACAAATACATTTTATAAAAGTCATATCGATTCAGATGTAGATACCACATTTAAGTATTAAGATACTTTTAATATTATTAAGGGGGTATATATATAATCATTTTTTTTTATTCGAAAAAACAAAACAAATCTCATACAAAAAAAGATAATAATTAATAACTTAAAAAATAACGGTTTTATCTATACACACTTTTTCTTTTGATAAATTTATTAATAATCTTCTCCAATCATAAAAATAAAAAATATATTTATTATGATAATTATGACTTGATAAATTAACAAAAATTTAACAATGAATGCACAAAATTATTTTTCCCTTAAAATAGATACATAAGACACGCCCCCACTAATCGAAATTATTGCCCTTTCATCGTGTTTTCAACAATTATTATCTATCGCACAGGTGTTGAGTCAAACCATATCCATATCCGATCCTTGGTTTAGTTATCCCATTAGATTTTCATCGGATATATTGAGCACTATATTAAGATAAATATTTTTCCACCAGCTTTACCTTCCACGTATTGGTTGATAGATCCACTGCTATTATAAAACGCCTAATAAAGCTCTCATTTTTCCTTTTCCTCACATATGTCCCTTTCGAGTAGCTGAGATCTACACCTGATATATTTTTCATCATATCATTATTTTTTTTATATTTGACAGTGTTAACTACCCTTTCTTCATTTAATCCCGATTCCAAATCATCTCCCTTCTATCGTTAAATTTTACTCGACATAGTTTTTTCCCCAATTTTCAAAAACCACTCCTGAGTCCTTACTTCCATATATTCTTGCCCAGACTGTTTGTCCTACTTCGAATTCCGACCTATCGTTTATCTTCTCATTCATGGCTTCAATGCGTTTCTGCTTTAGACCGTCCAGTAAAATTCGGGTTCCCCCTTAGTTTTTCTCAGCTGAGAAGTGCTCTTCCCTCTTCCTACTGTTATTATAATATTCCACCACTGTCCAAATTTTACGACCCACATATTTTGATTTTCTTAACTAGTTTTAACAACAACCATTTGAGCTCGGATTATGATACGGTGGTGCTAAAATATGTTTTACCGGTTTCCACGCAAAACCTATTAACAAGTGTCGTTAACCCCTTTACCGCTTCGTATTCCCCTCATTTTGAGTTACACCACCACTAGTATATATATCTGATTCTCAAAGTCAAAAAAGTCTATATGGACATGCTCCCACTGCTATGTAGCATTCGGTTACACTCTTATTGTCTTTATGGGGCATCTTGGCCCACATGTTGCACATTCGCACAACTTCTGCTTATGTTCTCAATCTCTTTATTCATTCTCGGCCCTTGGCACATCTTCTCGGCCCCATTGTTTCATTTTTTCAACCGTCTGACATGAATCATCGCCAACACCGCTTCCCTTAACACGGTACCATACCTCGTACCACACATTCATTTGCCATAGCCAATTCTTTCTCTATATATTTGAAGGTTTTGTCTCTGTCTCGCCAAGGTTTCCACCCCTTTATGCATGCTTTGATTTGGGTCAATTCACGATAATTCTTTTAAGTTCTTCCCACGTTAAACCAGTCCTCCTTTGGCTACTCTGACCATCGTTCTGATCAATCCTTGCTGATTCCTTTCCTCTAGTATTTCTGCTCCTTTTCTTCGCAATCTTCTCCAGCCCCACATCTAGAAAAAATAGCTGGTAAATAATTTTCTCTTCCCTGTCGATACTACAACTGTACATCAAAACTTTCCACCAGTAACAGCCATCTTTGTAATCTTGTCGACAACATTATCTCCTTATTATCTTTTCTGGCTTGTGATCGGTATAAATAACAAATCTATCCAATCAGATATTCCCGACATTTCGTCAGTCCAAATATGACGGCCAACGCTTCTTGTTCGATCACTCTGCTCTAAATATTCTCGAGAAAAGTAAAACCGGTCTTTCTATTTCATCTATACAATGAAATAACATCCCACCTAGCTAACACTACTTCCAAATTGTTGTTAAAGCACATTAAAATTGGTTCTCTTCCGATAGAATTCAATTTTTCAAACGCATTCTCTTGTTCCTCTTTCCAATCAAATTATTTCTTTTTCTTTAACAAGGTATATAATGGCGCCATTATCTACGCTAATCCCTCTACAAACCAGTGATATTAATTTATTATTCCCAAAAAGGCCTGCACTTCCGCTTTATTATTAGGCCTCAACATATTAGTAATTCCTGTAATATTTTTGTCCAATGGTTTCATTTCTTTTCCCGTAATTCTATGCCCAAATACAGTACTTCCGTCACATTCCTAACACACTCTTTCCGGCACTTGCTCGCAACCCCTTTTCATTAATTCTTCTAAACACCTCTTTTAATCTTTGTTTAATCCGGAGTTGCGCCCTTCACCACTACATCATCTATATAATAGAATACCCCATCCATTCCATGAAAAACCGCCGCCATAGTTCGCTGAAAGACAGGAGCTGATACACTCAGTAATCTACAAAATGCAAACAACCCTTTTGTTGTAGTGATAGTTAATAATTTACCTCCGATTTCACATGCAACTGCAGATATGGTTTTCAAAATCAACTTTTGAAATATCTATACTTCCTTTATCAAAATCAATTTCCAAGAGCCAAAAGTTAGCCAATATCTTCAATTCTTGGTAACGGATACTTGGCTTTCACAACTCATGCAATTATCGTGACCTACCGCACATAGAAGGAGTCGGCCATTGGCTCTCTCCACGGGAACCAGCATAGTTGCCTATTCACTATATTCCAAGAACATACGATGCCATTTTTTACCCATTGATCCATTTCCACCTTCTTTCTCCACTCAAACGGTACTCGCTGCTAAGCAAAACTTTGGTACATACCCTCCTTTAATTTATTATCCAAAATCTCTTAGACAACCCAAATCTTCATCAAAGGTCTCTTGATAAACATCCATTAATTTCAATACTCCCTCTTGCACCTGGATCATTATATTCTACTCTATTATTCCGAAATTTCATTTCTTCACATTATTTCTCCTTTTCCATTTCTATTCCCACTATACCCATTAATAAGTTGTACCTCTCGATTTTACCGTTTTTTGTTTCACCATATCGATCGGTTGTATCTTGGATATCGACATTCTCCCATCTCTTACTAGATTTCCTTTGATAATCTTCATAGAACCATTTTCCCCGATTTCTCACCAAAACAAAAATTACTTGCCCATATTTCTTCCCTATGATTATCTTCCCCCCCCCATTCCTCATGCCCCTATTTCTCTCCTGTGCGATCAAACCTTATGGTCTATCTTGATTTCTCGCATGACAGTCCCCACATGCCAATCTTGATTTGTGCCAACTTTCACAAAAACAGAGTTACCTATAATTAATTCTCTACAATTAAATATTTTAAAATTAGCCCTAACATCGTCATTATTCTCTAACAAACACTATTTCCATATCAATTCACTATCCAATAATCAAGCTGCAGGTAAAAATTTTGTTATTGAATGCGTCGGATTGCGTTAATAATAAAACATCAGCTAACATAAGCTCATCCCATCCTTCATTTATAAATCATATTTTTTGCTGCTCTTTCCACCATTCCATTAGAGGACGGGTGATATGCAGAGGTAAAAATATGAATATTCCTTTATTTTGAAAAATTAAAATTCATTAGACCTAAATGCTGGTCTAACCGAATCTAGAAAAAACTTTATTTAATTCAATTATAGTGATAATGGTATTAATGTTTTTAACCTTGATAATTTCTAGCCATCGAGGTGTCGTAGTTTTATATATGAATTTATATTAAATTTTGCATAATGTCAATCAACCAAAATAAATAAGGTTGATTGGATTATCATTGAAGAACACGTGATTTTATATTTTCATTTCGTGTTCGAAGATAATTGTAAAAAACATTATTGGAAACTTTTTTCTTTCTTATAAAAAATTGATTATTAAAAAATCATATTAATAAAATATTATAATAAAAGTATCGTGTTGTTACGAAATAACTGTTCTGAAATTCTTAGAAGGGATTCTAGTTGAGTTAGTTGTCCTTAAATTGTAATTTAAGTGTAGGAAGGGATTTCGAGTAAGAGTATATATTTTTTTTCTTAGCTTTTTCAAACCCATAAAAATTTTGAATAGGTCCAAAATAATCAATCATGTCAGGGTTTATCTGGCTGCATTCAGTGATTTTGCCCAACTCTTG